ACGATGAAGTGGATCTGTAATTGGTTAAATGGACGAACCCAGAGGGTGCTCATCAATGCTTCCTCTTCATCCTGGAAATAAGTGAAGAGCGGAGTGCCATCAGCAGGGTCCCATCCTGGGCCCGGTCCTGTTCAGGATCTTTATTAATGTCTTAGACGAAGCGAAGGGTTAGAAGGCAGGATCATCAAGTTTGCAGACGACACCAAATTGGGAGGGAGAGCCAATACTCCAGAGGACAGGAGCAGGAATATTGTGTCCAATTCGGAGCACCACAATTGAAGAGAGATATCGACAAGCTGGAATGGTGTCCAGAGGAGGGCAACTAAAATGATCAAGGGTCTGGAGAACAAGCCCTATGAGGAACAGCTTAAAGAGCTGGGCATGTTTAGCCCGAAAAAGAGAAGGCTGAGAGGAGACATGATAGCCATGTATAAATAAGTGAGAGAAAGTCATAGGGAGGAGGGAACAAGTTTGTTTTCTGCTGCCCTGGAGACTAGGACGCAGAATAATGACTTCAAACTACAAGAAAGGAGATTCCATCTGAACATGAGGAAGAACTTCCTGACTGTGAGAGCTGTTCAGCAGTGGAACTCTCTGCCCCAGAGTATGGTGGGGGCTCCTTCTTTGGAAGCTTTTAAACAGAGGCTGGATGGCCATCTGTCGCGGGTGCTTTGGATGCAATTTTCCTGCTTCTTGGCAGGGGGTCAGACTGGATGGCCCATGCGGTCTCTTTCAACTCTATGATTCTATGATTCTATTGTCCTCCCAATCCTGCTATATGCTTTCAAAATGTGGACTATTTAGAGACATCACATGCAACTCCTGGAACGATTCCATCATCATTGCCTCCGAAAAATCCTGGAAATCTCTTGGGAAGACAGGCAGACAAATGTCAGTGTGCTGGAAGAAGCAAAGGCCACCAGCATTGAAACGATGGTCCTCTGCCATCAACCACTGGATTGGCCACATTGTCTGGATGCCCAACCACTGTCACCCAAAGCAGTTGCTCTACTCTGAACTCAAGAACAGAAAATGAAATGTTGGAGGATAGGAAAAAAATGTAAAGATGGGCTCAAAGCCAACCTTAAAAACTGTGGCATTGATACCGATAACTGGGAATCCTTGGTCCTTGAGCGCTCTAGCTGGAGGTCAGGTGTGACCAGCCGTGCTACAGAATTCAAACAGGCATGAATGGAGGGTGAAAGGGAGAAACATGCCAAGAAGAAGTGCATCAAGCAACCCTGACCAGAACCACCTTCCAACTGGAAACATGTCCTCACTGTGGGAGAACCTGCGGATCAAGAATAGGGCTCCACAGCCTCCAAGTGTCATATCTTAGAGGACCATCACCATGACACTACACTTGGAGGACCATCATCCTTGGACTACTAGGGATTGCCTAAGAAGAAGAAGATAAACCTGACACTTGGTTGAAATGAAAGTAATTTTTGCAAAACGTCAGGGAGTCAACGGAGTTTCAAATCCATTCTCTATCCTAAAGTCACAGCTTTTTTAGTCAAAATATACTAAAGGCACCAGATTCTGGCTGATGGTGGAAGAAGGGCTGGCCCCTATGAGTGCTTGGATGGGAGGTTGCCAATGAGGTGGCTGGAGATTGGTAGGAACTGGCATAGCCATCTCTGCATATTCCTTGCCAAACAAAGCTCTGTCCTCGAGTGGTCCCCTGTCCCCAAATGCCACAAAGCTGGCACTTCCAGCGCTTGGGGAAAGCTGCCTCTGTGGACTCTCCATCCCAGAATCCCCCAAACACTTATGCAGTCTGGAAAAGAAGCCCCTTCCCAAGCCCGGGAGGAGTGCCAGGCACTGTAGGCTCTATTTTAGAGGGAGGAACTGGCAAAACCCACCTATGGATACCCCTTGCTTGAGGAAACTCTACAAAACTGGCTCTCAACCTTCGTAATGCTTCAGCCCCTTAATACAGTTAGAACCCTAGAATCATACAGTTGGAAGAGACCTTGTGGGCCATCCAGTCCAACCCCATGCCATGAAAGAGGAAAATTGCATTCAAAGCACCCCCTGACTGATGGCAATCCAGCCTCTGCCACATGTTGGGGTGGCCCCCATCCAAAAAATTATTTTTGTCACTACGTCATAACTGTAATTTTGCGACTGTTATGAATCGCAAAGTAAATATCCGATATGCAGGATATATTTTCATTCACAGGACCAAATTTGGCAGAAATACCCAATACGCCCACATCTGAATACTGTTGGCATTGGGGGGGGGGGGTGGTTGATTTTATCATTTGAGATTTATAGTTGCTGGTATTTATAGTTCACCTACAATGAAAGAGCATTTTGAATTCCACCAATGATGGAATTGAACCAAAACAAAAAAAACCAATGAACAAAATCACACCAAATTTGGCAACAAAACGTCTCACAACACAAGGAGTGACCATCACTCAAAAATTATGATTTTGTCATTTGGGAGTTGTAGTTGCTGGGGTTTATAGCTCACCTACAATCAAAGAGCATTCTGAACTCCATCAACGATGGAATTGAACCAAACTTGGCACACAGAACTCCCAAGACCAAGAGAAAATACGGGAAGGGTTTGGTGGGCATTGACCTTGAGTTTGGGAGTTGTAGTTCACCTACATCCCAGGAGACCTGTGGACTCAAACAACGATGGATCAGGACTAAACTTGGCACGGATACTTAATATGCCCAAATGTGAACACTGGTGGTGTTTGAGGAAAATAGACCTTGACATTTGGAAGTTTTAGTTGTTGGGATTTATAGTTCACCTACAATCAAAGGGCATTCTGAACCCCACCAATGATAGAATTGGGCCAAACTTTCCACACATAACCCCCATGACCATCAGAAAATACTGTGTTTTCTGGTGGTCTTTGGCGATACTTCTGATACCCCACCCCCCATGATCCCGATCCTCAGGTTGAGAAACACTGCTTTACAAAATGTAGTTGACAGATGACGAATAAAGACTGAGTTCTTTCTCCCAAGTGCTGTGGGAGAGCCCTTCCCAGAGAATGGGAGGGGGGAGGTGCCTTTGGGGTCTGTGCCTCCCAGGAAATATTATGAAACCTGTGGGGGAGGGAGCCATGAGTGCGCAGGTGACTTAAACTGGATCTACACTGCCCAATATCCTAGGATCTGATCCCAGATTATTTGGTTTGAACTGGATTCATAGAATTATAGTCAAGAAACAATCAGAGCCAGCTAACACCTCCCAACAAAGGATTCCCCCAGGCAGAAAGTAGCCAAAGCCTTGAAGTTGCAAGACCATTCAGTGTTAATCAAGGGGATCAACTGCAACATTCACACTTGCCTCCAACAGGCAAGAGTTTTATCTCCCAGCCTAGACCTCATTCCACAGATATATCAATCTCGCTTGCCTTGCTTCCAACAGACCCCACAACCTCTGAGGGGTCATGCCATAGATGTGGGCAAAACATCAAGAGAGAATGCTTCTGGAACATGGCCAGACAGCCCAGAAAACTCACAGCAACCCAGTGATTCCAGCCATGAAAAAACATAGAATAAATGAGTTGGAAGAGACCACATGGGTCATCTAGTCCATGGGTCTACGCTCCCAAAGTGACCCATTTAAGGTGGAATCAGGCATCAAACAGGGATGTGTTATTGCCCCAACTTTATTCTCCATCTTCATCGCTATGATACTTCATCTTGTTGATAGGAAGCTTCCCACCAGAGTGGAAATCATCTATCAGACAGATGGCAAGCTGTTTAACCTCAGCAGACTGAAAGCCAAAACCAAGGTTACAACAACATCTGTTATAGGACTTCAGTATGCTGATGACAACATCATCTGTGTGCATTCAGAAGAAGATCTACAAGCCACTTTAAACACCTATGCAGAAGCATACGAGAAGCTCGGCCTGGCATTGAACATCGAGAAAACCAAAGTGCTGTTCCAGCAGTCATCAGCCAACCCCTCTCCAATGCCAGAAATACAGCTTAAAGGTGTAACATTAGAATATGTTCACCATTTCCACTACCTTGGCAGCCACCTCTTCACCAAAGTCAACATCGACACAGAAATATAACACCGCCTGAGCCCTGCGATTGCAGCATTTTTCCAAATGAAGCAGAGAGTGTTTGAGGACCGGGACATCCGTAGGGATACCAAGGTGCTTGTTTATAAAGCTATTGTCCTCCCAACCCTGCTCTATGCCTGCGAAATGTGGACTGTCTACAGACGTCACATGCAACTCCTAGAACGATTCCATTAGCGCTGCCTCCGTAAAATCCTGCAAATCTCTTGGGAAGACAGGCGGACAAACGTCAGTGTGCTGGAAGAAGCAAAGACCAACAGCATTGAAGAGATGGTCCTCCGCCATCAGCTCCGCTGGACCGGATGCCGGACCACCGTCTCCCAAAGCAGTTGCTCTACTCCGAACTCAAGAACAGAAAACGGAATGTTGGAAAAGAGATTTAAAGATGGGCTCAAAGCCAACCTTAAAAACTCTGGCATAGACACTGAGAACTGGGAAGCCTTGGCCCTTGAGCGCTCCAGCTGGAGGTCAGCTGTGACAAGCAGTGCTGCAGAATTTGAAAAGGCACGAATGGAGGGTGAAAGTGAGAAATGTGCCAAGAGGAAGCCGCATCAACCCAACCCTGACTGAGACCGGCTTCCACCTGGAAACCAATGCCCTCGCTGCGGAAGAAGATGCAGATCAAGAATAGGGCTCCACAGCCACCTACGGATCCACCAGAATACTGATCCTGGAAGACTATTCTACTGGCCAACACTGAAAAACTGAAAACTGATAGATAGATAGATAGATAGATGGAGATATAGATGAGTCTACACTGCCTTATAATCTAGGTATAGAATATTTATAATCTGGGATTGGATCCTGGTATATATGGGCACTGTAGAGCCAGTCTCAAAGGCAGACATAGATCTGAATTGAAGGTCCAGTGATGGGCATCAGCTGAAGCCTGGCCTGTACCTGGAGGAAAGCCCATCCTTGGCTGCAGAGACTCACCTGAGCGGCTGCCCTAGTTCATGGCCCAGGCTGGCTCTCCTGCAATCGCTGCTTCTGCTCCCGAGATGGGAAGGATGCGGCTGCACACCCTCCTCTCCTGCCTGCTCCACGTGAATGCGGCTCCCTCTTTCTCCTCCTCTTTCTCCTCCTTCCTCTCCTCCCAAGGCTTCAGGTGGGGAGACTTCGAAAGCAACAGGGCCCTCCCCACCAAACTCAGGCAGGGACAGAGCCCCAGCCAAGCAAGGGATGCTTCCACGTGGGTTTCCCTTCTGATGGAGCTGCCAAAAAGGGAACACGTGAAAAGGGGAAAGGATGGGGGCGAATGTTGCTGCTGCTGCATGAGGGAGTGAGGGGTCTCCCCCAATCAGAGCCCGGCCTTTTCCCAAAAGGGCCCGCCCCCTTTTGCACACCCCCAAGAGCTCTCTCTCTTTCTCTCTCTCTCTCTCTCTCTCTTCAACAGCCTTGCACCATGGAGATCCACACTGATGGAATTCGTGCGTGGAATTCAGCCCATCTCTGCAATGCTTGGAACTGGAAGGGTTTGGGATTTCATCATTTTGGAATATTTGCACATGTGTACCTCATATGGAAAACACAGTAATTTATTTATTTATGTATTTATTTATTTGGGGTGCTTCTACCCCGCCTTTCTCAACCCCCTAGGGGGGACTCAGGGCGGCTTACAAAAGGCACAATTCGGTGCCTAACAATTCACAAAACACAATACACAAATACAATATACAATTTACCATATAATGTTAACAGTCTAATTAAAACTAATTAAAACTAATTAAAAATTAAAACTAATTAAAACTAATTAAAACAATCAAACAGTATACTAGCAGCAATAAAATCATCTTGTGGTCAATGTTCACCAATTCATAATCCGTAATCCATCTAGCATCGTCATTGTCCTTTCCTACACTGGTAGTCATTGATTGTCTTTGTCCATCTGCCAGCTTACCCGAAGGCCTGGTCCCACATCCAGGTTTTTAGCTTCCTTCTGAAAGAGAGGAGGGATGTTGATGACCTAATCTCCACTGGGAGTGCATTCCACAGGCGAGGGGCCACCACCGAGAAGGCCCTGTCCCTCGTCCCCACCAGTTTCGCTTGTGATAAAGGTGGGGCCGAGAGCAGGGCCCCCTCAGCAGATCTTAAACTCTGAGGTGGGACGTAGAAGGAGATACATTCGGACAGGTACGCTGGGCCGGAGCCGTAAAGGGTTTTGTAGGTCATGGCCATGAGATTGGAAAAATCCACTTCTAACACCCTACCGAAAAAGGGAAATGCTAAAGAATGCTCAGACTTTGATACAGTGGCACTAATTTCACATGCCAATAAGGTAATGCTCAAGATCTTGCAAGGAAGACTCAAGGAATACACGGAGAGAGAGTTGCAAGATATACAAGCTGGGTTTATTTATTTATTTATTTATTTATTGTGTCAGGAGCAAACCAAACAGTTGTATTGCATTTTTTTAACAAACAAACAAACGGTGCAAAAAGAATCTGCAAACCCACGTCCTCCAAGATGAACTGAACCACCTAAGCTGGGCTCTACAGGCCAATGGAGACTCCACCTCAGACATCAGAAGAGTGTCAAGACCAAGAATAAGCCAGGAGAGTCAAGACAAAGATCCACCCAGAGGAAAAGGGTTCCTGCAATACATCAAGGGAACCACTGACTGCATAGGGAAGCTGAGGAGGAAATACAACATACAAACTATCTACAGACCCATCAAGAAAATCCAACAAATGCTACGTTCAGCAAAGGACAAGAGGGATCCTCTCACCTCTGCAGGAGTCTACCGTATACCATGCAGCCGTGGACAAGTCTACATAGGGACCACCAAACGCAGCAGCATTGCCCAAACACGAATCAAGGAACACGAAAGGCACTGCAGACTACTTCAACCAGAGAAGTCAGCCATAGTAGAGCACCTGATGAACCAACTTGGACACAGCATATTATTTGAGAACACAGAAATGCTGGACCACTCTCACAACCACCATGTCAGACTACACAGAGAAGCCACTGAACTCCACAAGCATGTGGACAATTTCAACAGAAAGGAGGAAACCATGAAAATGAACAAAATCTGGCTACCAGTATTAAAAGACACTAAAATTACAACAGCAAAACAGCAGAGAGGAAACAAACAAGGATTTCTAATCACCTGGGGAAAATGGAACAAAAATGAAGAGGGGCTGACCAAGGGCAAGGTGGATGGATGGCATCCTTGTAGGGACTGGCTTGACCTTGTAAACTGCTGAGGGGGGCTGAGTGGCTGAGGGGGAAAAGGAAAGGCCTGAGGCTGCTAGGAATCATGGGAGTTGAAGTCCAAAACACCTGAAGGGCCGAAGTTTGCCCAGGCCTCCTCTAGAGCATGTATGACTTTGCCCAGCCTGTCCCATAGGCTGTTGAGCACACTGCTTCTTAAACTGTGGGTCCCAATCCCAAATATGCCCCCCATAGCTCAATGTTGGGGGTCACAAAAAGTTTGGCAACAGCAAAAGCTTTCTAAAGGCTACCCATTTACACAAATCCATTAGCTACAATGTGCAATGTTTACAGTGGACTCTGCAGAAAATGCTTTAGGTGTACTCCAGAAAAAGGGAAAATCAGTCTGTTTAGCAAACTTTGCAAATGCTTTTTTGGTATCAGCAAATATTTATTTTATAGCTGTTTTATAGACCTATTGTAAGACTGTGGAAGATCTTGGGAGTTGAAATCAAGCTCACAACAACAATACACTGGAGGCAAATGATTTATTTCCTTCTTTCCTCAGTTCCTGAAAGACAGATCTAAAGCTTCCCACTATTTATTTATCGTATCAGGAGCAAAGCAAGGGTACAATTACAATGTATTTAAAAAAACACAAAGTTGGGGTGCCTTTGGTGTTGCTGTGAGAAGGTCCTCCATTGTGCATATGGCAGGGCTCAGGCTGCATTGTAGTAAGTGGTTTGTGGATTGCTCTTCTCCACACTCACATCGTTGGTGGAATTCAGAGTGCTCTTTGACTGTAGATGAGCTATAAATCCTAACAACTACAACTCCTATTTGTGCCAAGTTTGGTCCACATCCATAATTGTTTGAGTCCATAGTGCTCTCTGGATGTAGGTGAACTGCAACTCCAAAACTCAAGGTCAATGCCCACCAAACCTTTCCAGTATTTTCTGTTGGTCATGGGAGCTCTGTGTGCCAAGTTTGGTTCTCTTCCATCATTGTTGGAGTTCAGAATGCTCTTTGATTTTAGGTGAATAAATCCTAGCAACTACAACTCCCAAATGACAAAATCAATCCTCCCACAACCTCACCAATATTTACTTACTTACTTAGGTGTTCCCTCATAGTCCGAGGATGATGGTCCACCAAGTGTAGTATCCTGGCGGTGGGTCCGTAGGTGACTGTGGAGTCCTATTCTTGACCTGCATCTTCTCCCGCAGTGAGGGCATTGGTTTCCAGGTGGAAGGCGGTCCCGGTCAGGGTTGGCTTGACATGCCTTCCTCTTGGCATGTTTCTCTTTTTCCCCCCTACATTCATGCCCCTTCAAATTCTGCAGCACTGCTGGTCACAGCTGACCTCCAACTGGAGCGCTCAAGGGCCAGGGCCTCCCAGTTCTCAGTGTCTGTGCCAGAGTTTTTAAGGTTGGCTTTGAGACCGTCTTTAAATCTCTTTTCCTGCCCACCAACATTCCGTTTTCCGTTCTTGAGTTCGGAGTTGAGCAACTGCATTGGGAGACGGTGGTCGGGCAGTATTCAAATTCAGATATGGTCATATCGGGTATTTGTGCCCAATTTGGTCCAGTGAATGAAAACACATCTTGCATATCAGATATTTACATTACGATTCATAACAAGAGCAAAATTACAGTTATGAAGTAGCAACAAAAACAATGTTATGGTTGGGGGTCAGCACAACATAAACTATATTAATTAAGGGGTTGCAGCATAGGGAGGTTGAGAAACACAGTCTTTCTGAGCCGTACTCTGCTTACATCTTTCACTTCCTTCTGGATCCCAGCACAGTTCCTGGAAACACAGAGACCCCACAAGCGAAATCCCCTTCATCCACAGCTGGCCATGCCTTTCCTGGCCAAGCTGCATCCTTCACCTGCTGGGTTTCCTTCTAAGGGAGAGAATGGGAGGAAATGCTTTGGACGTCACCAACGGGCTCCATTTCACTCAGGTGTCTGCTGCCTTCTGTTTGGTCTCACACAACGAGCCAGGTCCCTTTCTACACAAGGTTTTTATACAAAGCATTACTGGGCCAGGGTTGCTCAAAGGCAGTGAAGTGATTTGATTCTTATCGTAGAGTCTTTCAAAATTCAAGCAGCCATTCTCTTAACTTCAAATCTATGCTTAAAACAGAGGGACAATAATGACTGACTTTTTTAGGGCATCCGGCTGCAAAATAGGACAGAGATCTGTGAAGAAGAGGGCATTTTAACCAGAGGAGTTTTTGGGACAAGCTGCACCACTCTAAAACGTACACATTCTCTCAGCCTTTCACATCTTGCCAAAAAGATCCTCCTCTCCCTTAATAGGTTATTCTTAGGGTCACCATAATTCAGAAAAAACTTTGAAGGCACACAGCAGGAAAGAACATATTGCTTTGCTTATTTCTGTTTTATCAATTTCCTAACAACTGTCTACAAATATTTTGGGGATTGAATCTCCTCTAAATGCCCCCACCCTTTAGCTTTCCTAACATAATATGAAAATTATGCCAAGATAATGTCTGTTAGCAGCTTATCACACTGTAAATCATCGCCTTCTCCTGAGAAAAACTTATAATATCAAAAAGGATTACCACCTTACCCACTTCATAGGAAATCTGCTACAAAACAGGAGCTTTTTTGTGGAGTTCTAGGGCACAGAAGCAGATAGTGAAAACAGAAGAATGGCCTGCCTCAGGGAAGCGTACTTGTATAGCCAAGTCTGATTGTTCATATGTGTAACGAGCACTGAATGTACACCCTTTTGTAAATTTTTTGCATCTTTTTTCTTTTTGCATCTTTTTTCTTTTGTTCATTTGTTTTGTTTCCTATATACACTACAAAACAATCAGATCAGATAGCACACCAGCTCTGGAAGAATGGGAAACCCAACCTTGCCACCAAAGTAGGAAAGAAACCAAGAGTCAGACAACCAGATATTGAGAACAACAACCTTCATGAACCTTTTACATTTACTGAATTGGAGATGGCTCTCAATAAATGTAAAAATGACAAAGCAGCTGGCCTGGATGATCTACAGATGGAACAAATCAATAACAAATCCAAAAGCAAGGTGCTGGCTGCTGGAGCTGATGAACAACTGCACT